CAAGAGAAGAGGAAAACTCCTCCCGAGTAAAGGAAGGAGAGAGAAGTTTCCTCTCCGCTGAAGAAGCAGCCCAGGACACCCACACCCACACTTGAAGGTGGCCCCCCCTCAAAACAGACACACACACCCCTCCCTACTTGAAGGTGGCCCCCTCCACCCACACGTACACCCTTACTTGAAGGTGCCCCTCCTCAACGGGGACACACACAGGTGTGCACGCGTACACACACAGAGGTCCAGCAACCTTCCTCTCACACACACAGAGGTCCAGCGACCTTCCTCTGAGGGCCCCACATACACTTCCCTACTTGAAGGTGGCCCCCCCTCAAAACAGAGGAGGGGGCTCCTGCCGGCTTCTCAGGGTTGTGTGGAAAGGGACGCAACCCCAGCAGAGGCCGCTTTCTCCTGCTGGAAAGGGCCTCTTTCCTAGTCTCTGAAAAGGTGGGAAAAGACCCCCCCACCCCTCCTGACCTGCACTATGAGGAGGTGAATTCGGAATTTGGAACTGTGTTTTTTTTGGGGGGCGGGGAGTGAAGGAATCCTTTCCAGGTTGACATCCTTGCATGTTGATTAGCACACCCCCTTGGTGAAGCCTGCCTTTCTTTGAAGGATGGGCGGGTAACCCACTCTCTCATCTTGAGGCTCTCTAGCGGCAGGATGATCCCCGCCAAAGCGATTTGCTTGCACCAAGAGGGTCCCTGGCCATGATGTCTAGCCTAAATAGGAGCCACCCTCTCCCAACCCACCCGGAGGCAGCCTTATTTGTGTTGGGGGGGATGGTTAGAGTACAAGGTGCTGGGGAGGGGGTTTAAGATGAAAGTGGCAAGGTGCCCCTCCCTGCCCAGGAAATCTAAGGCTGAGGTGAGAGAAATGTGTGGATTGGTGTGTACTCACAACCACCTAAGTTTGGCTTTCAGCTCTGAGATGTAACAACAAGGTAACCAAAACATGGGAGGCTTTCATGGCCAAAGATTAGACAGAAGGGACAGGCAGAGAAAACAAAATTATACCTCATGCTGGGTTGAAACTAAGATAGCAACTTTTTTTTTCAAAACATGGGAGGCTGACATAGACCAGACTGGACCATGAGCCTGTCTAACCCAGAAGTCGTTTGTGTTCTGGCAAGCCCATGTCTCTTTTTTGGGTCTTAAGCACCGAAAGGGCCTTCCTCTCATTTCCTTTCTGGCCACTCTAACTGGACATTAATTAGTCTTGGGACATCCTGCAAGGAATGCATAGGGTACGTGCGAAAGGCCTTCCCTTTGCATCCCCTTTCCCAGGCTGGTAGTGAAACTGACAAGGCTCTCTGATTGTTTTGATGTACTGTAAATGGTTACATTGATGTCTCAATCAGTTACTGTGTACAAAGTGCCCAGAAATGTTTTTATACTGAGTGGTGTGGAAGTACAGTAAGTAAACAATCAAAGAAGAAGATGAAAGTGCTCCAACATGCCAGAGCAGGGTTCTTTTTCAACTTCCACATGGTAGGATCTCTTTGACAGAAGCCTTTGTTATTTCCATGTTCTGAGAATTTTTAAAAGTGAGTATGGAAGCGTTTGAACACACGTAGTACCTTCTGTCTACAAACCCTTTACCCTTCAACTATGTTGTAACATGTTTCATGGAAGTAAACAGTGCTTTTTGGATGCAAGAGAGAAAAAAGGAACAGTTCAAAGTTGGTTGTTTTCAACCATTTTCTTTCTCACTAGGGATGCGGGTTCAAGACACGTTGAACATTTCTGTCTTGTTGCTGCTTCCGAGGGGAAGGAAACTATTAACTATAGCATAAAATACTTCTAAATGGTTGTTTGGAGAAAAGGGAACAATGGTTAAAATCTGTTGCTTAGTGTAGTAAATGTCATTAGAGTAGGCCCCTAGCAAGCCACCTTTGGAACTTCCATTGATTCAACTGTACCTACTTTTAATTCACTTCCTGTATCAAACTAGGTTGTTGGTAGAGCAGGCCTATTTGAATCAGTGGAATTTATGGTGCAGTTGACTCACCAAATCCCCATTGATTCAATTGGCCTACTTTAATGGTGATTTACTGCACTAGGCAACAGAATTTTGGCCGATGCCTGTAATTGTGCAAGTCAGGTTGCAACAAAAAATGTCTATGGAGATTTCTGAAATTTCAGCGCTTCACTTCCAAAAGTTATGTTGTTTATATAACTGTGCAACAGGATTTCAGTCAATTATTAAACACTTTTTACTTATTGGCTTGTATTTAGTGATTTCCCCCCCTGAATACAACTTCACTTCCAAAAGTTATGTTTTATATAACTGCAACAGGATTTCAGTCAATTATTAAACACTTTTTACTTATTGGCTTGTATTTAGTGATTTCCCCCCCTGAATACAGCCTTCCTTTTTCTGCTGACATGCAGATGTTAGGGGCTACCGTTTCCATCATCCTCAGAAAACGAGGTTGTTTCAATCCTGTATGTACAGAGAGCACCAGGTCGAAGGAAGATTCTCTTAGCAGAAACTGCTTCTATATATAAAATTTGGGCCACACCCTTTTTACAGCCATCCTCCCCAGATCCACTTATATCCCTGTTCTCACCGCCCCCCCGAAAAAAAACCTGCTTTGAAAAAGAATTAGATGTGACTGAGAATTGCAATAATAACTAGAAGCAAAAGCAAAACATGCTGCTTATATACCACCCCATAGTGCTTAAAACATTCTCTGGGCACTTTACAATTTACGTATGCAGGCTACACATTGCCCCCCATCCCCCAGCAAGCTGGGTACTCAATTTTCTGACCTTGGAAGGATGGAAGGCTGACTGAACCTAGAGCTAACCACTTGGGATTGAACCTGGGCCATGAGCAGAGTTTTAGCTGCAGTGCTGCAGTATAACCAGCACCACGAGGCTGTATAACCACTTTGTTGAACCAAGCTTGGTGAACCTTCAGCTCTCTGGATGTTTTAGACTGAGTACAGCTCCTTGTTACTGAAAGGCGACTACCATGGGCAGGTAATTCAAAAGCAGGTATGAATCTATAAAGGTCAAAGATTTATCCAAAACAAATAAATTCTACAGATAATCCTCAGCCCAAAAGGGAGATAAAACTGGACTTAACTGAATCATGTGTTGCGTGTATCTGGGAGAAACTGGATCTTGCTTGTCTACACTTTTGCTCTGATTTACATGATGGGGATAGGAATGAATATCCCCTCTACCAATGCTGCATTGGATTTAATTAGCCACCCATGTGCTTGTTCTTTTTGTTATAAATGGTTTGCATTTGCAGAAGTCAGTCGGATGACATGGAGGGAAATACCATGATTTTTTCCATGATGAGAGCATTCAATAACTACCTGTCACAACCTGTGGAGGAAGCACCTGAGTCTCCTCAAGGCTCTCTGCAAATTAATTATGAGCAGATGATGAAGGTAAGACCACCTTGGTTCTTTTGCTCTTCATTGGTTACTTTAGGAAATGAAATAATCATCCTCGTTGTCAGCACCTCACTGGAGAGAAGTTAGTTTTTTTTCTCTTGAGGAGCTCAATGTACAGTGGGGTCTTGACTTGAGAACTTAATCCGTATTGCATGGCGGTTCTCAAGTCAAAAAGTTCTCAGGTGAAATCTGCATTTCCCATAGGTATGCATTGAAAACCATTTGATCCGTATCTGCTCTTTTCCGTCCATAGAAACTAATGGGAAGCTGCTATTCTGCCTTCGACCACTAGAGGGGGATATTTTGTTTCTTTTTTTCTTAGGTCAAGAAAGGTTCAGGGAAGGCAGGGAAAACACAGTCCAGGCAGTCCAGGACCAGGCAGTCCGAAGACTGTCTCCCAATCCACTCTCTAAACGCTGGGAGGAGTGAGGAAGCAGACAGGCTCCCTTTTCACTGGCCAACAGTTAACTGAAAGTTCAAATTTTGCACTTTCCCTGCCTCCCACGTGGGTTTTTTTCAATTCTTAACTCAAATCTAAGTACTTAAGTCAAGTCAATATTTTCCTGTGAGAGCGGTTCTTAAGTCAAAAAGTTCTTAACTCAAGCCGTTCTTAAGTCAAGACCCCACTGTACATTGTGTATCTCTGCCTCATTTGTCCCTCTATTTTATCTTTGTAACCACCTGGGAAGTCGATTAGATCACTGGTTCCTAACCTTGGGTTACTCAGGAGTTTTGGACTGCAACTCCCAGAAGCCTTCACCACCAGCTGTCCTGACTGGGGTTTCTGGGAGTTGCAGTTCAAAAGCATCCGAGTAACAAAGGTTAAGAACCACTGGATTAGAGTATAATTTGAAAGCAAATATTCCTGGGCTAAAAAAAATGATTGTGCTAATACCTTACAGTTCGTTTGAATCTAGATGGGCGGGGTAAAAGCCAAACAAACAAACAAACAAATAAATAGTTGTTGTTCTTAAATAATTACGGTATGTTTTTTGTCGTTAACATTTATAGCCTGCTTTTCCTCCAGTAAGCTCAAGGGGGTGCATGTGGTTCTTCTCCCCATTTTATTTTAATAACCCTGTGAAGTTGATTTAGCATGGGAAGTAATGACTGGCCCAAGATTACCCAGTGAACTTTATAATTCATGGCAGGCTAGAACATGGATCCCCATGCTCCGGTTTCTTAATTTGAATCATTACACCACACTTCCAAAACACTCTAGTTAGAAAACTAGCTCTCTTTCTGTTTTGTTTTAAGTATATTTTTCAGGTTAAGGAGTTTGGTAGTATTAAATGAATCAACTAGGGAGAAAAAAAACATTCCTGTCCATGCTCTCCCATTTCTTTAAGGACTGGCCACTAATTAAAATGCAAACTTTTGGGTATTGGCCACTAGGTTAAGCTCATACCCAGGAATGAAAATGTTTCTGGTTATATAAGTTCCTAGATCCATGCTTCTATTACTATTTTTTCCTGTATTGCTGCCCTCATAAATATTGTGAAAAAAATTGTGTAAATAAGACGCTGCAGATGTAAATGAATACTTCCCTTTTCTTCACAGTCCACTGCTGGTGCTTTGTGCATGCTCGTCGTGTTTCCTATTTCCCTGCTTTTGCTGCCAGCTAATTAGTGGAGATTTCCACAGGGCCCTCTTTCAAATTGTTTTTGTTCCAGTTGTCAGTAATGGAGATTGCTTTTTATGATGTACAAATCCTAAATATTTTGTTCCTTTAATAAAGATTGCCTACAGCCTGGACTATTTATGCTGAGATGTGGTTAGGAGGGTGATTTGGAGAGAAGCCAAAGGCTTCTTTGCTGGGTTGTTGCCTGTTATTTGTGTATTCTGAGGAGGTTTTTTACTGGCTTGTTTATGCATTTGAAGGAAAAAAATATTTGGTTGTTTGTGAGGAGGTATTGAAAGGTGAGAGCTTGGATTCTCACTGAACTCTTTGCTTCACCTTTAAAAAAAACTTGTAAGGTGGTCTAAGAAATATATGGTGTCCTTTAGACAAGGCTGTTTTTAGACAAATATATTTTTAAGGGCATTCATGTGATGTCCCATCTAAAGGACGAGTCAGTTTCACAGTTTGTTTTCAGCTTTGGGAACAGGTGGGGAGAGGAAAACTTGCAGAATTCCTAGAATATGCCGAGAGTCTTAGAGGTCTTGTGGAAGTACTGCTTCCTTCAAGTGTCTTTTTCTGTCTTTCTTTGGATCAGCTTGAAGAGCAGGCTGGGCAAATCCGTTCAGGGACACAGCTCTTGCAAGTGGAACGGGAGAAAAGGCAAATGGAACTGAGTCACAAAAGGGCTCGGATTGAGCTGGAGAGGGAGGCCAATACAAATGCAAGGAATTTTGAGGTGAGTTTGTGTGTGAGGCTAATTTACTGTATCAAATCGAAATGTTCTGGGATCCTGGATTTTTTAATGCCCAAAGGGGAGGATGCACAGCTTCTTCTAAGATAGATCTGGGTAATCTGATCTGTCAGGGACCATGTTCCCTCTCAAACAGTGGTTCCCAACCTTGAGTACCCAGATGTTCTTGGACTACAACTCCCAGAAATCCTGACCCGAACAGCTCGTTCGTTTGTTTAGTCGTGTCCGACTCTTCGTGACCCCATGGACCAGAGCACGCCAGGCCCTCCTGTCTTCCTCTGCCTCCCGGGGTGGTGTCAAATTCATATTGGTTGCTTCAGTGACACTGTCCAACCATCTCATCCTCTGTCGTCCCCTTCTCCTCTTGCCTTCACACTTTCCCAACATTAAGGTCTTTTCCAGGGAGTCTTCTCTTCTCATGAGATGGCCAAAGTATTGGAGCCTCAGCTTCAGGATCTGTCCTTCCAGTGAGCACTCAGGGTTGATTTCCTTTAGAATTGATAGGGTTGTTCTCCTTGCAGTCCAGGGAACTCTCAAGAGTCTCCTCCAACACCACAATTCAAAGGCATCTATTCTTCGGCGGTCAGCTTTCTTTATGGTCCAGCTCTCACTTCCATACAACACTACAGGAAAAACCATAGCTTTGACTATTCGGACTTTTGTTGGCAAGTCCCTTCATGGATTGCTACCTTGTCGTGGCGAAGGGGCTTGAGCAACTCAGAGAAGCTATGCCGTGCAGGGCCACCCAAGACGGACAAGTCATAGTGGAGAGTTCCGACTAAACGCAATCCACCTGGAGTAGGAACTGGCAATTCCACTCCAGTATCTTTGCCAAGAAAACCCCATGATCTGAAACAAAAGACCAGCACAGCATTGGGAGATAAAGGCTTCTGGGAGTTTTAGATATCTGGGACCCAAGGTTGGGAATTACTGTTTTAGGGAAATGTGCTGAGGGCTTCATACCAGTGATGAGTAGGGCTAAAGCCAATACTAGGTGAATCAAGAACCAAGAGTGGCCAGAGCCACCATGTTTTTTATTTTTTCTCTCGTGGTGTTTCCTTTTTGACTTTTTCGCCTACTTCCTCTCACCCTTCTTTTCCCATCCTATCATCCAGTGGAGGATAAGTTGTTCTTCCAGACATCTTGACTGGAAGATGTCTGGAGATTTTTAAATTTTTGTTCCTATTTCTCCCATTATCCAAGATAGTTCATGATATGATTTTAAAAACCAGCAGCAACAACAGAAGTATAACAGTTTTTAATACTAAAACATGGTCAAACAAGTTTTCACATTAAAATATCCATGTTAGTATCTGGTTAGAAGCACTTCAGGAGAGACAAGTAAAGCCACCGTTCCGTTAAGACCCCTTTCCTCTGTTTCAGTCCATTGCTTTCGAAATTAAGTCATCGCCTTTGCTTAGCCTGTGGCAGGCAGGTTGCCCACCAAATCTGTGTTCAGCTGGTAAGCTTCATTGGGTGGCCTGAAGCCATCATTTTGTGGCTTTGCCCCAGTCCCAAAGCTTGTGAGATTAGAACCATAGGATCATAGGTGTGGCATATTGCGTGAACATCAGGATACAAACATGGTAAAGCTATCATCTGAAAAAACGGAATGAGGTGACACTAACATGTCTTGTGAGACTGCTTTTGCGTGCTCCTTTGATTTCTACAGTTGCACCACAAATAAAAAGTTAGAGTGCAGTTTATTCTGTAAAGTGCTTCCAAAATTCAGAGGTTTTTAGAAAAGATCCATACAATAAAAGCAAGCAGGATATAGATCTTTCCTTTGAATGAGACAAACTGTGTTGCTGAGAAGGTTCCTAGTTCCACTTCAAGTCAAGTGATTTTATGGATTATTCCGGTGTCAGTTCAACCCCAAAATATAGCTGAGTCAGTCACAGAAACACTTAAAATCCTCCTACAAAAAAAGGGAGCAGCACTAATCCAACAATGTGGTAATTACCCTGCTCAGATTCTGCATTTCAGGAGTCATGTGGATAAAGGTTTTAGGAACCTCACACTACTTTACATAATCCTTGCTTAGTATGCAAATCCGTAGCTTGTTTTGCTTTGATTAGCAGAGCAATTTGCTACACGTTTTCCAATAACAGCTAATCAATTTGAGTAGGAAGTAAATGGAAGCTGCTAGAAATACTTTCCACATTCCGAGACTGTGGAATGGGGATCACAGCGTCTATCAGCAAGGATTCAGTGGTAGGCGTGTTACATGTATTTTACACCCTGCTGGAGAAATAGTTTCATCGTAATGAGGATCTACTGCGCTTCAGAAACAGAATTTTAGGGCATGGCTGTGCTATCTGAGAGACTTGTTGGATCAGAACCAAGATCTGTCTAGTCCAGCACTCGGAGGGCTAGTCAGAGGGCTTGGAGAAGCCCACAAGTAAGGCATGATGGTAGTATCCCCTAGTCTTGTTTCCTACTGTAGTAACTGGTATACAGTGATTTGCTTCCTTGGACACTGTTCATGATTTACAACCATCATGACTGGTAGCCACGGATAGCCTTTTTCTCTATGGTAATATGTCACATATCAGCAAATGTTGATTTGAGGCTTCTCCACAATTATTCTATGTTGTGCTGAAGCTTCCTAGTGTCTATCTTATTGGTTACACAGACGAACTGGATGTAAATGCTGTTACGTTATTAGATCTATTACCATGAAATATTGTAATGCAAGGATAATGGAAGGCACCAGAAGTCAGCTTGAAATAGGGCAAATCTGAGCACAGACATTTTAATATGTTTAAGTTATTAAATAACCTTAATAAAATATTTTTAGTGCCATATAGTCATAATACTTGGAGGTGATTTAAGAGCTGTAGTAGTAGCCTGCTGTGATGTGGGTGGGTTTTTTTAAAAAAAGAAGAAAGCTGAGAATTCACTTGAGATACATTTGAGGCCTGTGTAGCTTCCTTTTGCCATGTCCACAGCCATGGGATATTATGGGTTTTTTTAATTACACCATCTTGAAAAGGGACCAGGCTTTCACATAAAACATGATTGGAAGGATGTCCAGTGAAGCAGTTACTAGGAACATTTATATATCCTCCTTTCCTCTGGTTTGGAAGATAATGTTGTGTTCTCTCTCAGTCTGAGCTTCATATTCATCTGCAATATTAATATATTCACTATAATAAACACTATGATGAGAAACTTAAAAAAATACAGATGAAGCAGCGGAATGCTCCCTCCTGCCCTTCACTAATATAACAACAGTAAATATATTTACTAGAAAGGAACAAAAATGAAACAGAGCATGAACAGAGTTCCTACACCAGTCCTCTGAAGATGCTGGCCATAGAGACTGGCGAAATGTCATGAAGAACAACCTGGCCATGAAAGCCTTCGAGAAAAATGAAAGATTGCAGAAATGGAAATCATGGGTTGCATTGCTGGTGAAGAGACCCGTTGCATTTGTGACTCTTGAGTAAGGAGATATCATCTGGGCAGTGAACCTCTTCTGTCAAATTTATAATACTTTTAGCTGATGTCTTTGTGTGTGAATATATGTACATCCCCTTTGCTTCCCAAAGGTAGACTTGGGGTAGATTTAACAGACATATTTTAAACATGTAGGTATCATCCCTTACAGGAGTTGCTGGATTGGTTTTTCTTCTTCTTCATGGGTAAAACACAAGAAAGCAGGGACAATAATAGTATGCATAGTCTTCAGAAATGGGGATGATCTTAAAGGGGCATAAAACTATAAAGAACATGATGTTAAGACTAAAAATCTTCAGAAAATGCAAAAGGGCCCCACACGTTTGTCAAGAAAATGGTGTGAAATTGACACGTCCAGCACGTTCCTTTGGGGAACTTTTATCTGCTAACTTGTGTCGAAAGATTTTGCAGGCTTGTTTCAATGATTACCTGACTTTAACTTATTACTTACATGTGACTTCTTTTTTCTTCTTTGCTAACTTGTGGGGTAAGAGGGTGTGGTGCTGTGACTGGCTATTTGGAACATGCATGTGTGAGGTTTGTGTTTTTTTTAAGCAGTCTTCGAGTTTTCCCTTTTTCTTTAGCGGGAGGCTGACCGTAACCAGGAGCTCCTGCAGCGCATCAAGCAGTTCCAGGAAAGGGAGACTGAAGCAGAAAATAAGCTTCAAGAACAAGTTGAGATTAACAAAACTTGTCGGAAGAATTTAGAGTCCCTGAACAAAAAGGTGCAGGAGAAAGAGAGCAAGTTGGCTGAAGCCAATGAAGTAAGAACAAAGCCATTTTTAATTCTGTATGTTTTGAAATTTCTGAATGTATGGGGCTGTTAGTACAACTGTCTCTTCTTTCGGTAGTTGTGACACACAGCAATAGGAAAGAACTGAACCTTCTCTCCCCATTACTCAGGTTCTGGTTTGAAAGAGATAATAAGTCTGCTGATGCTCAGAGAGATGGAAAGGGTGGGAAGTTAAGGGTTGAGATCTTTCTTGAAGGGAGCGTGTTTCAAAAGCAGAAATGGGTTTTTCAGAAGGCAAAGGAATCTGAAGCTTGCACTGGGATGATCAGATAGCACCATGGTGAAATTTGTAGTTGTGGGAGATGTGGATGTGTCTGTGTGTGTGTACAACCCAGACCATCCAGAAAATGTTTCATGACCCATGACTCACTTCCGTTTACTGTAGCAATATTTTAGGAACAAATTATTCTGTTTTTGCAGAGGGCATGTAATTTGTTGTTAAGTAATAGTTACAATGTATGAGCACACTCCTTTTATTTTTTTTTTGGTAACAACTTTTCTCCTTCATGGGTTCTGCAGTCATAAAGAGTGTTATAGGCATGGTATTTTCTCTCTCCTCCTCCTATATAATTTTGAGTGCCAGGGCTGCTTGTGTGTTCATCTCAGAGTGATCTCAACGAAGAAATAGGGTATGCGAAAGGGCATTTTAGAGATTCAGAAGCTAGCATAGAAAGTGAATCTTAGTTACTAAGTGAGCAAGCCATTGTTTTGCTGGCCAACAATGCCCCAATGGCAAGTTTGGATACTGTATTTTATCCTGCTGGTAAACTAGTTCTCATAACTGCAGCTTTTCTGATAACTCCCTTGAAAACTTGCTGCTGCTGCTACTGCTGTTACTTGTCTTTTGGGAGAATGTATGCAACCTCTTTTTAAAAATTCCACTGCAGAGAAAATATTCATAGGGTTCCAGTGGAACGATTTGCATCTCTGTGATGAGTCCTTCTGTAGATACACATTCTAACTTTGAAACTTGCCATTTGTATGCCAGCTTGAGGTTACTCACATAATTGGTGGTGACAATTAGGGTGACATATCAGAGGAAGCAAAGATTTGCTTTTGCCTTTGTTCTGTGGCGACATCTTTAAAGGTTTGATGATGAATTATTCGTTCTCCACACACTCGTCGGTAGCGTTTGATCAGAGGCAGTTCATTGTCTACAACATCCATTCTGGAGGTCCAACAGTGTATTGTATATTCTTCTTCGTTCAGACAATCAGTGTGCTGAAGGGGAAGATATCAGACTTGCAGTGGAACTTAATGAATCAGGAGATGCAAATGAAGAGCCAAGACTCACAGAAGCAGGAGCTGACTGAACAGCTGGATGTGCTACACAAGTGAGTAGAGGATTATCAACTTCCAGGAAAGAAAACCTTTAGTCCTTGGCAGCTGGTGTCACTCAGAAATTTAAAAAAAATATAAAAAGAGGGGGGAAAAGTTTCAGCTGTTTTTGATTTTGGCTGTTCAAAGGGGCTGCTTTGATCAGGATGTGTAATGCTGAAAACTTGATCACTGAAAAAAAAAGTAGAAAATGAAACTAATTTTAAGCAAAATAAAAACCCCAAATTTTAACTTTCGGTTAATTTTTTTTCCTGCGGGATACTGTACCAAATAGTGGTAAGCCCAAGGGAGACTAATTTAGTGATGTTCAGTTTGTTCCCTTGGAGACTTCTTGCTTGCTGCTCTTAAATTAGTTAGTAAACAGCACTGAGCTGTTTCAGCTCTTCCCAATGGGTGCCCTCCACATATGTTGATCTACAAGATTTTAAGAGTTGTATGTCGTCTAGCATGGCTAGAGAACATCAGGTGGGGAAAAGCCATCTTATAACAACTTCAAACTGCTCTGGGTAGGAAAATTAAACCGTGGGACAATAAGTCATTCCTGCTTCTGATACTGGGATGAGATTGTTTTAGGCTTTGTGCTCAAGTTATCAGTCACAGGAGAACATCCTAGTAGTGTTAGGTAGACAGTATTTTCTCCTTGCATGGAGTACACGTGTGGCAAATTGTAGACACAGACAAGGTTCTAGTGAGGAGCATTGACTTTTGCCAGAGGCCTTATTACATCATAAAAACCTGTCTGGCTTTTGCTCATGTAGAAGTGAAATACAGTGGTGCCTCGCTTAACGATGTTAATTGGTTCCATAAAAAAATCGTTATGTGAAAACATCGTTAAATGAAACACCATTTCCCATAGGAATGCATTGAAAACCGGTTAATCCATTCCAATTGGAACAGATTAATGCTTGCAATCATTAGCCCACCTCCTGAAACCTAATTTGGTGTTGTTCTGAGTCGTCGTTAATTTTTGGTGATTTTCTTTAATTCTCCATTGAAAGCCTTTGAACGGACCATTCAAAGGCTTTCAATGGAGAATTTAAAAAATCACCAAAAATTAACAACGACTCAGAACAACACCAAATTAAGGTTGCATAGGGTTCAGGAGATGGGCTAACGATTGCAAGCATTTAAAACAGGTTCCAAACATTGTAAGACACTTTTACAGGAGCGAAAAAGGGACATCGTTAAGTGAAATTCCCCCATAGAGAACATCGTTAAACGATGGGGGAAATTCCTCAAAGAAACCCATCGCTGTGTGAATTCATCGTTGTATGAAGCAATCGTTGTGCGAGGCACCACTGTACCACTGATCAGCAATGAAAGGGGTGAATGTAAGGCGAGTGCTTGTGCTTCCAATTGGGCCTCTGCATTTATGAAATGGCTGTCTTATGTTCACACACCATAGAAAGTGGCAGGAAGCCAGTCAGCAAATCCTGGCTCTACAAGCAAAAGAAGCCCTTTTGGCCGAGAAGGAGCAGAGGATTCAGGTGAGATCAGTTTGTTCTTCTCCTGTTGGATGCATGTTCCGTTTAGAAGACTACTCTTGGGAGAGCATCAGCCTCTTTTGCCATCTTGTCACTGAAAAGTCAAAACAAAACTTCAACGTGAAAGCAAAATTTGCATAACATTTTTTTGTATGTACCACAGTTGACTTAAATTGCACCTTCTAGACTCGCAGTATGTATGAATTTATTACTCTGTGTTGGGTTGCACAATTAATATTAAAACTCTTCAAGTGTTTGCAAGCTTTAGGTTTCCGACAGTTGCCTTCGCCCTTTATTTTTTCAGGATCTGGAGCAAAAGCTCTTTCTGCAAGAGGAGGACTCTATAATTGTGAAGAACATGAAGAGTGAATTGGCGAAGTTTCCCAAAATGGAGCGAGAGTTGCAGCAGCTCAGAGAGGAGAATGCTTTTCTCAGGTGAGAAGAAGAAAGTGATCATGTTTACTGGAAATAATTTACATTATGTTTACCATTCCTGCTTGTTTGTTGAAACTTTTGAAGTTCGTGTATGAATCTCGTTTACTGATCTTGATACCCTACCTTCAAGAATCCCAATCTTTCTTCTTTACACCTTTCCTTACATACATTCATAGCCATGTATTCATGCTGGTTCTATTGCATTATTATTGCTACATGATATACTGTGTATCTTCCGTTACTAGAAGATGGGACATTTGATTTTCAGTTACGTCTAGAATACGGTATGTGCCAAGAAAGTGTTCTTCATTCTTTTTTCAGAGAAATGAAGGAAAACAACGGATTACTCAGAGAGGAGGTAGAGGGACTTCACAGGAAGCTAGAACGCTTTGAGAAACTTCAGGCAGAACTGGTAGCTTTGGAATTAGACAAGGAGGTGAGACACTGAAAATGCATTATACTTTTGGAAGATGGGTTATGTTCCTCCTACTTGCAGATTTTTCTTCGTTATTTTCCAGTGTGAACATACTGATTGCACCTCTGCTGGTCCTATAAGCCTTTTAGCCTGTAAGTCTGTGTGTGTTGAGCCCACTGTAGATTTTGTAGGAAGGTTCTCGGTTAAACGGTGCTTTCCATTGTAACAGCTTTTTAGGTCTATCATGTCTTCTGGATATTGAAGAATTGGCATGATATCATAGAATATTTAAAGTAGAGGCTGCATTTTAAACATTGTTGCTGTAAATGGGGCTAAATAAAGCATGGGATCAATACCATCGATTTTTTTTTACATCTTTGTGTGAAAACAGTTGTTAGAGCACACTATGGTGGTGCTGATAATAGCAAATCCAGCCCATTCCATTGCTTAGACAAGAAAGAAATAGAGTCTGGGAAAGCATTTCCATTCAGGAAGAAGGATGAATGAAAAACGTAAGAGAATTTTTTTTAGATATAGTTATGTTATTTGTTTTACTTTCTAAATTAATTTTAATTTCCCCTTCCAGAAACTTCAAGGGAGGCTGGATTCATGGGAGAAACTGGACCAAAGCACTGGCTTAGACATCAAGTAAGTGAAAGACAGCAGTGAATCTCAGGGCCATTGGCATTCTTATGTGAGCTGCCTTATATAAGGGAAGGAACTGTTTCTCTTTCTTGTGAAATATGCACATAATTCACTAGCGCTTTCATGTGCTTACCAGCATTTGTCAAATGACAGGGAATTAATTCAGTTCTTAGCTGCAGAGGTTTGATTGCTTTCTCATGAATAGGACTCGATCACAGAAGAGGAGGTTGCTGATGTCTCCCTGGTCAGGAGGCCCATCCTTTTCTGCTCTGGGTTACTTTGAAAAGTCATTTCATGAGGTTAAGGAAGCAGAGAGTTAGATGGTCCTGTCAGAGTTTATCATAATGGAATAATACTGGGATAATGCCAGTGAAGTACGTTAATGTATCTCAGTTCTGTATTTTTATGCATTTTGTATAATTGCATTCATGTATGATAAAGGTGTAATGCAGGTTACTATGTAGAGACTCTAATTCCAGGGTGAGCTTGGAGGAAGTTGCCTTGACCTCACAAGACCTTGTGAGGCTGCAATTTCGACTTAATTGCCATTCTTTTGCCTTCTGTCAATGTCATATAGGTGGTTTTAGGTCATTGCTTGGCAAAGGTTGGCATGAACAGACCCAAGCAGCCTTAAGGGTAGTTTATGCTTATGGAAATGAATCATTGTCCAGTAGATGGCACACTTCTTTCTACCGGACTTGTGGAAGCTTTTTTCTTTTCCTCTTTTTTTTTCCTTTTTTTTTAAATTTCATCTAGGTAAGTAGAATGCATCAAGAAGAATTTTCTTTCTGACAGGTAGTAGGTTTGATCTGTAGAGTTCTTCCCTGATAGGCAGCCCAGAGAGAAGGTATCAGAAAACTATAAATGGCAGGTGTTGCTCTTTCCTTCCATCTCAGCTTTAGAAAGAGCCGGAACTCTGGTCTTGGAGGGTTTTTTTCCCCTCCAGGGCCCACCGCCTCTTGTAAGATCAACGTGCCTGTCTTCTCTTGAAGGGAAGTTTGTTTGGCTTATCGAAGCTTTAGCCCCCCAGGGATAGAATGATTAAGCCTGCTTAACTAAATCACACTGTGCCTTGATTGTATAAAACAGCATGCTGTAGTCACCATTCAGATCTGTGTGCTGGTATTATAAACAAGCCATGGAATCACTTGACTCCATGCAGAGGTGGTCTTGGGTATTGGAGTAGGGATTTTATAGTGGATTGGGGATAATGGAAGAAGTAGGTGATCCAATGGGATACAAGATAAGCTGTGACTATGTTAGTAGCCAGACCTAGAATATGCATACTACATCCACACATGCATCTTGTGTTTTCTTTGTTAAAGAAAGGGGTTCTTTGTGTTTTGAATGCAAGCAGTGGTGAATTGCTATCTTCCCTCCCTAAGGCAGTCTGAAAAAGAGTCCTGCCTGTCAAGGGAAATAAAGAAATGACCATGCTTGGGAACACATGTCTTGTTTTTTTTTCATGGCCTTGGTTATGGCTGATCTATTGCCTAGCACTAAAAAGCACAGGGGGGGGGGTTATGGTCAGCCTTCTGTTCCTGGGTCATCTGTTTCAAATTGTGGTTCAACAGGACCAGAAGGAATAGGTTCCTAACAATCCTGAAACTAATTAAAGAAAGAAACTTAGTGGTCTTGGATGGTGCTTCTTTCTGAGAGAGTGGATGCTTATATTGTTTAATCGCATAGGGTAAGCAGACTTCTGTGGTGGGAGCATTTGCCAGGAGAGAATAGGCCCCTTCTGGCAGAGGCGAGGCGTGCACTGCAGTTAGCCCTGTATTCATCTCCCCTCTGTTCTCCAGTTATGCTTTGGCAGTGGAAAACCCTGGGCACAGTCTGTCCAGTGGACAAGGTCATAACCTTGCTGGAGAGAGGCAAGCCAGGGGACTGACCAGTGCTCAAAGGCGAGACTGCTTGGAGGTTGTATGCTGGGATCCCCTGCCAAAGAAAGATTGGTTTACGGATATAAGAAGTAATAAAAGAATGATGTCTGATCCGTATATAATCTGTTTCTCAGCCCTTTCAACTGCTAGTTAGTTTGGTTTACGAATATAAGAAGTAATAAAAGGATGATGTCTGATCTGTATATAATCTGTTTCTCAGCCCTTTGAACCGCTAGTTAGTTCTGTGTAGCAGTTTCAGATGTTTTGGGGGATAAAATGAGACACAGGGTCACTGCTTTTTACATCGGCACCTTGGTGGATGAAGTGAGAGAAAAGCTTACTAATTGTTCCTTGTCATGAGGAGGTTTGTTTATCCTCCTGCTCTTGCAACCTCCAGTAAAAAGAAAACACAATAGTGCATCCCATTATGTGAGGAAGTGTGATTAAAATCTTTTTTTTTTTTTGCATTGAAAGACTAGGTATGCTGGAGATCTCCACAGGTGTAACATTCTGAGGATTTGCTATCATGGTGTCTGACTCAGGGCTGATAGGAATCTTTCTTTGCTTCTGCTTTCTCCTTCCTTTGACGAAATGCACCTTTTTATGAATGGCTCTTAATAATGCGAAAGGCCTGCTGCACAAAATGAAATATGTTCTTTATCATTATAGTTTCCTTAGTATTCTTCTTAGCTGACAAAGATCACAGTGGCTACTGCTGGAATTAGCAATCATATTTCCATTTGTGCTACATGACTATGTAGATTTGGGAAGGCTGCGGGTGTGCTCCCTTTTCCAGCCAACCTGCCGCTGGTTTTGACGAACTCAAAACTTGGCAAAGTGGGGACTGGGAGGCTCAAGTAGATAGGGATGACCTAACTTACTCAGCTTTGCTTCAGAGCGTGAAGGCAATGTCATGGACAAGCAATGCAAATGGTGTTTTGCGTGAAGAAGACCTGGGTCTGCCTCCACTCTGCATTAATGATGCTTCAGCAGGACTTTCCACTCAATGGGAGTTCAATAGGAAAGTGGCCAGAGGCAATAATCCTCTGAATATCAGCTTCTGGCAGCTTAGCGGGGGTGTTTCTGCATTCATGCCCTGGTTGTGAGAATAGAATGCTGGATGAGAGGAGCCTTTGATCTGAGGCTGCAAGGCTGATCTGATGTTCTTACATGACTTGTCATGTTCCAAGATGGAACATGGTTGTCAATAAGGGACCGGGAACAGGCTTTGAAGCAGTCAGCCACTGAATTTAGAGTAGCAGTTGTGACTGAAGGGTCAGTGGAGTACAGTGGTCAAGAGTATTCTGTTTGCAGGAGGGAAGCCTGACAGGCAGTTCCCCTGATGACACAATCTTTCAGACTAAGCTATTCTTTGGGTTTGATGTCTCTTTTTAAAGGAATATATTTTTTAAAAATAGAGAGAATGAAAACCAAGTGTCAAAGAAAGAGAAAATACCATACCAACAGTATCCAGCAAACTGGGAACTAAATGCTTTTACATGAATATAATCTGTTTAAAACATCATTTTGCAATGTTGGGTGAGAACTCAGCAAAGAGCTATTCTTGCAGTGATTAATAGTAATCTTGGAACTGCAGAGCTGGAAGAGATCCTGTGGATCGTTGAGTCCAGCCCCTATCAAGCAGGCACTGTGGGGAATCGAACTCCCCTTTCCTGGCTCCGCAGCCAGAGATCTAAACCCCTGAGCTATCCATAAAAGGGCACACACTATGTTGTATAAAATTTGGTCATGAAATCTTAGAATATCCTGTTAAGCATGTAGGAATGGTTAGATTAAATGAACACATACAGAGAAACTTTTGAAGTTTTGAGCATGTTATTCAGAGGGCATGCAAGAGGACTCTGTTTTTACTGGGAGTGGGGGAAACATTGGTGGCAAACTGTTTCAACATCTGGGAACGTTCACGGTGCCTGCAATTTTTCCAGTAGTAAGCTATGATTTATGAGCTGTACAAAGATTGTAACTTTATGGCGGTTGTTCACAAGCTTCCTTATGTAAAACAAGCTGTCACATCACAGTAGGGGTTTTCTGAATATAGAAAGAAAAAAGAATAAATATTAAAGAGGAACACAGCTATTCTTTGCTCTTGTTTCCTTACCACTTGTCAGTGTTGAAAGTACCCATGGAATAAAAGCTGGCCTTGCCTATTTCATGACTTCAGGTAGGGGTTAAAACTGTTCTTGTAAGGGAATACAAAATCTTAACTCCGTTCTGGAGTCTTAAGGCAACTGAGAGGAAGACCTGAGGGTCAGGGGAGGGGTTGTGGATAAGGTGAACAAGAGCTGTTGGACAGCTGTAGCATTTGAAAGTGCTTTCGGTATCGGCCGTGGGCAATGAATTTCTAGCTGATGCACTTCTTGGTGTATCAAACACCATCATCTGTATGGTTGTACCTTCTGAAGTATGGCCCAACTAGAAAGTCTATTCGGTTTATGCCATGTTTACGCACACCCCAAAGTCATTGCAAGTGATGGCAAGGCAGATTGAACAAGGCAGCTTTCCTACCAACAAGAGGAAAGGCTTTGGAAAAGAGTGGTTGTTTTCGAAATGTGAGGCGTCCCTTGAAAAATATAAGTAGCTTGAACCCAGGTGTTGAGTATGCTGTCAGGAAAGAGCCTTCCAGCATGAGCATGTCTTCCTCTTCCCTTTTGATGCGAAACCACTCCATGCCTAATGTAGCTATAGTGAAATTATCATTTAAATAGCAGAGGCTAATGGGGAGAGGATGGAGTGTTGCTGTCAGAAGGCTCAAATGCCCACATCTTATTTTTATTCAGTCTGTGTCTTTCTGACATTTCAACAAACACAATAACTGTCAAAGTCTCAAAGTCATTTATAATTTTAACTTTCCCCATTTTTGTTTAATTGTCCTTCATTTCACTTCTGAACTGTCTCTCTCTCTCTCACTCTGTGTGTGTGTGTGAAAGAGATCATTCACTGCTAAGAACCTGATTGGAATTTACAAAGATTTCAATGCTTCGTTCACTTGGTGTATGTCAGCTGGTGCTGAGAAAAATGTAGGAGTGGATTTATTTATTTTAAAAATGTGTAGACCATATACAAACATACGAGCATGTGACTTTAAAACAGCCATGAAAG